CTTTTCTGCTTTATTAGGCCTCTTCTTCCTAGTGACTAGGAATAGGACAAGAGGAAATGGGGTCAAGTTATGCCAGGTTGGATATTAGGAAAAATTTCTTCACTAAAGGAGTGGTGAGGCATTGGAACAGGCTGGCCAGGGAGGTGGTGGGGGCACCGTCTCTGAAGGTATTTAAAAAAATGGGTGGACATGGTGTTTCAGGAGATGCTTTAGTGGTTAGAGTTTGTAGGGCGGTTGGTTGGACTTGATGATCTTGAAGGTCTTTTCCAACCTTGATGATTCTATGATTCTTTGATTAGCCCCTGGGTGCTGAGAACAACTGGATGTGAAAAATGGTGTACCCAGACATTGAGGGATGTCAAAGGGCAGATGGTTCTTCCTGGGCACTGCCTGCTGGGGCCGGCGGAGGCAATTGAACCTTATGGTTCTGTCAAATTAGGGCAAGGACCAATGGAGAACTATCCAACCGAAAGGAGCAGTGGGATAGACCAGGTGTGTGTGGCTCAGCAGAGGGCACTACAGGACAGCCGGCAGCGAAGGGCTGCAGCCAGCTCCTTGTTGGGGGAGGCAGAACGCTGGATAGTTCTGTTTTGCAAAACCCCAAGTTTTGATCCCAGCCTGTACCCAATGCCAGAAAGCTAGACATTGCCCAGGCAGGACTGCCTGGCAGTCCACTGCCTTCACAGATGGTAGATTTAGTGTAAAAGTAGGGACAGTAGATGATTGCAGGGAGATGACAGAGGGCAAAGCATGAATACCATGGATACTGAGAAGGGATGGGTCAGCATTAGGCAGTGCTCTCTGCTCAGGGTGCTCTTAGTCTTGCCAAGTGGAGGAGAATTTGCAGGAGGATTATGCAGTTGTATGGAGGGTGTTTTCAAAGCAAAAGGTTACCACAATAATAAAAATCAAATGAGCAGGTGGCAGAGGCTGGCATCTTGCTGCACAGAGTGGGAGTGATGGATGACAGTCAGGGTGGGCTGGGCCTGGCAAGTGAATTAAGTGGGTCTGGTTAAATACATCAGATAGGGAGGCAGGAGGGGTGTGCAGGGAGTGTGGTTCCTATACGAGGGATGTTATGCACAAATAGAGTAGAAAGGTAAGGGCACTGTGGGCTGAAGTGTGTGTTTGGGTTGGGTGGGTGGAGGCCACCTCTGATGGAGGGGTAATTAGAGAGGAGAACCTGCAGAGCAGGGAGTGGCAGAAGGCAAAGCAAGTCTGGGTTGAAGATGGCCCCTGCCCCTCTTCCACCGGGATGAAGGGAGATGGGGGAGAGCAGTGAGGAGGGGGAGATGGTAAAGGGGTTGTTTTGTATCCATGTGGTTTTTTCATGCCATTCATTGGATGGGTGAAATCTAGGACAGGAAGAAGTGACTCCGTATTTGTCCCTTGCCACTCCAGATCACTTCCAGTGCTGCAGCCTGACAATCTTGGGGGGATGAATGTGTAACCACAGTATTGAACTCTGGAACACTTTTTACCTTCTCATATCCCATGCAGTGCCTTCCCTTGCACTTTGTAGCACCTTGTAGGGCTGTAGTTTTGCACTGAACATTGCATGGCTGTGCAAAAGTATTCCTG